CTTTTCGTCCACGTGGGACTATGTTTTTTGAGCAAGAATGCATTTTCGTACAGATAGCTACAGCCTACTGAGTCTTCTGCAGCCCCAACTAGTCGTTATATCAGCTTCTTTACAACTTTTCTCTATCTTTGCAAATAGTAGGCTGTGTCTATTGAGCAATTAGCTTGGGGGGTCTCTATCAAATCCAGTCTATTGTTAGAGTTGGTCAGTAATGATCGCTGATACTAGCGCCCAACGGTTGACACGGGGTCTTATCCGCATCGAAATACGGTCCTGAGGTTTTTGGTGAATTGAAAACGCCTATTGTGCGTCTTTGCTTTTGACATTTGGTACTACTACCTCTAAATTACGAACAGGATCTCACTTCGACTTTTAAATATAATTCATGATATTTTCGGCAAGCGTAATAGAAGAGAATTCTCCAACGAGCAGATAAAGCATTTGGCAGAACAAAAAGACTTGAGCTCATTCTCGTATGATTCAGTTGGATGCGCGAGAAACTGAGGGTTATTTTTATAGAATTTGTGACTTTTGATATTTCGCGATCTCATTCAAACCCGCGGAGAAAATTAGAGGAGCGTTACGGGGATCCAGACTGGTATGTTTTGCGTAACCCAACACTATTCGGGGTATAAAGTCTAGCGTTTTTCGCCTAGACACAGGCCACGTTTCCAACCAGAATAATGCATGGCGTATTTTAAGTTACCTTCTTCTTGTAGGTTGCAGTTAACTTACTGTTCATTTCAGTTAAATCTTGGCAGAACTTTATGTTAATAATTTAGCGTGAGATTATCGTGCCTTCAGGAGAAGCAGCATTATGGGCGTGCGCGTACTTAAGCCTTTGCGTTTTTAAACCGTCGGTGGGTATCTAGTTTGGCGTTCTTACAAGCGTTCGGTCAACTGTACCCTTTCACAGGATCTTTGTGCTTTCAGGTGAACTACTCAGAATAATGGGTTCTACAAAGTTATTAGAATTGCATAGACTTCCTACTGGATTACACACGGCACGACTTTGGGCCTTTCAAGATGTTGGCTTAGGAGCAGGTGATCAGGACTGGCCTAACATCGCTTTACTGGTGTCAGTTTTCTCTGGCAGCAGCCTTTTCCAACACTCTTCAGTTGTGTCTTCTTTAAGTTTTACCTCGGGAGGCATCCATCGGTGAAATAGTGGACTAAACAGCTGTCCAGCACACAACAGGGCCTGAGATATTCGTTTTTAAAACTTCATGCATATATCTCCCACTTTTTCACTGATTTGCATTTGAGGTATGTTAGTTGTGTGAAAACGAGCCACTAGCAGTGTTTTAAATGTCAATACTTTTCGCAAACTTTCAGACTTCAATTGAAATGTCCTGGGCTATTGCTGCATACGACCATGCAGAGACACACTTCAGTCTCCTTTGCGTTGTCCCCGACTGCCGCCAACTGAAATTGTCAGCTAACGACGACCTTATCTACAAGAAATTCCGCCAGGTATTTCCTGATTTGGAAGTTGAACGGCTAACAGAGGACGCACTTAAATCCCCAGATCAGAAAGAGGTAAGTTAATGACTTTATCAGCGTTAGCTACTTATAACATCAGGTAGTGCTATTGTACGACTTGCCGGCAAAAGTAGCTTATGTAGGCCCACCCATATACCCCTAGTCCCACCATTTTGTCCTGCAAAAACGGTGGTCATAGAGTTTTGGGGGTTGGGGAAATAGGATAGACAGAGAAGGAAATTTTTAGGAGTAAGTGTAAAGTGAAAAAAGTGTAGTCGAAGTTGCTTTCCGCGGCCGCTGGGAGTAAGTTGTTTCGTATGTGAATTGAAGGTGTGCGTGGCGCTTCGCGCCGCTGACTATACTAACCTAACTTCAGAACAGTAAGTTGGACCTCAGGTAAGTTGAAGTAGGCGACCTCCTAACCACCATTTC